TTGAGACGGAATCAAGACGAAATTTAGAATGAATTCAGCCGGAATTCAGATGTAATTGAGGCGGTATTCAGGCGGAGTTGAGACGGAACATGAGAAGAAATTGAAATTTAGACGAAATTGAGACGGAATTAAGACGAAATTTTGACGGATTTGAGATTAAAATTGAGGTCGAATTGAGGTGGAATTTTGGCTGAATTTAGACGACATTCAAACGGAATCAACATAGAATTTTGACAAAATTAAGAACGAATTTAGGTGAAAATTAGATGAGATTGAGATAGAATTTAAACGGACTTTAGATGAAATTGAGACAACATTTAGAAGGAATTGAGATGAAATTTAAACGGAATTTAGACTGAATTAGAATGGAATTCATACGGAATTTAGATGGAATTGAGACGGATTTAAAAATGAATTGAAAAGGAATTGATTGAGCTATTATTGTGGCACAATTTATAATATTTATAATTTATAATTTATAATATTATAATATTAAGTTGAATTAAGACGGGATTGAGAAGGAATGGAAAACGAATTGAATAGGAATTAAAAAGGATTTCATTAGGAATTGAGACATTATTGTGGCGGAATTAAGACGGATTTTAAGTTAAATTGAGATGAAATGGCCACGAAATTTTGACGGAATTTAGTTCGAATTGAGTTGTCACGATAGTAGGATAGAATTTAGCCAGAATCTGAGACGGAATTGAGATTGAATTTAGAAGGAATTTAGATGAAATTGAATTGGAATTGAGACTAAATTTTGACGAAATTGAGGCGAAATTTAGACGAAATTGAAGTAGAATTTACACGAAATTTGAGACGGACTTTGGATGAAATTGAGACAGAATTTAGACGGAATTAAATTGGAATTCATACAAAATAAAGATGGAATTAAATAGGAATTGAAAAGGAATTGATTGAGATATTATTGTGTCGGAATTTAGACGGATTTTAAGTTGAATTGAGATGGGCTAGAGACGAAATTTTGGTGGAATTCAGATTGAATTGAGTTGTGACGATAGTGGAATGGAATTTAGCCGGAATCTGAGACGGAATTGAGATTGAATTTAGACGGAATTTAGTCGAAATTAAATTTGAATTGAGACTAAATTTTGACGAAATTGAGGCGAAATTTAGACGAAATTGAAGTAGAATTTACACGAAATTTAAGACGGACTTTAGATGAAATTGAGACAGAATTTAGACGGAATTAAATTGGAATTCATACAGAATTAAGAGATGGAATTGAGATGGATTTAAAAAGGAATTAAGTAGGAATTGAAAAGGAATTGATTGATATATTATTGTGTCGGAATTTAGACGGATTTTAAGTTGAATTGAGATGAGATGGAGACGAAATTTTGGCGGAATTCAGATCGAATTGAGTTGTGACGATAGTGGGACAGAATTTAGCCGGAATTTGAGACGGAATTGAAATGGAATTGAGATTGAATTTAGACGGAATTTAAACTAAATTTGTGTAAATCTCTCTAAATTTTGTGTAATTTAGAGAGATTTACACAAAATGGAGACGAAATTGAGACGGAATTTAAACTATATTGAGAAGAAATTAAGGCAGATTTTAGACGGGATTGAGGCGGAATTTGAACTATATTGAGACGTAATTGCATGGACTTCAGACGAAATTGAAGTGGAATTTAGACGAAATTTGAGACGGACGTAAGGCAAAATTTAGACGGTTTTTGAAACGGAATTGAGATAAAATTTTGACGGAATTCAGATGGAATTAAGAAGAAATTGAGTCTGAATTTAGTTAGACGAAATTGAGAAGGAAATTGAGATTTTAGACGGAATTGATGTGGGATTTAGGCGACATTGAGACTGAATTTAGAGTTAATTTAAGATGGAATGTAGACGGAATTGGGATAAAATTTTTGGTGGAATCGAGACGGAATTGAAGCGGAATTTAAACGGAATTTAGGCGGAATTGATACTCAATTTCGTGTCATGTAAGACAGAATTTAGACGAAATTTAGACCGAATTTAGACGGAATTTGGTCGAAAAGAGGCGGACTTAAACGGAATTGAGATGCAATTGAGACTAATTTGGACGGAATTCTAATGGAAGTTTTTGCAATTGGGGCGAATTTAGGCGGAGTTAAGAAGGAATGGAGACTCCTGAAGAATATTCCCCCTGACAGACAGATGCAGTACGTAGATGTAACGAGAACAGGAATAGAAGAAGCTCGAAGAGAAAATCGGGAACTCTTGCTGAAGCCAATGCTCAGACAACCACTTGGATTAATTCATGAATCCTCCTGGAGAAGTCCAGCAAACCACTTTAAGATTCTTTAGGGAACCGTCAAGATTTGTCTAAGAAATCTCCAGAGAGGTTCAGAATACCTCTTGGGAAGTTCACTGGTAACGGAATATTATCGGAATTTTCAAGAAACAGAGCATCTTTTGAAAACTTTCAATCGAGTTCAAGCACCTCCTAGACAAAGCTGGAGCTTAGGCAAGCTCAGGAAACCTTCAACGGATTTTCAGAAAACTGCCCCTAAAAGGTCTAGGAACCTGGAGGGCAGGAGTTATGGAAATCTGTGAGGGGAATTTGGGGTTATTTTTTTCCTAAGAGCTCACTGAACCTCCGACAGACGCCTCGAGGTTATCTTAGATCTTTCCGGAAGTCGAAAAGTAATAGAAGTCAATAGAATCAAAAATAAACTCTCTGGGAGGCAAGGGAAGTGCAGGAAACTTCCAAGCGATGAAGGTAATTTTTAGAAGCGGAAATCATCAAGGAACGCTCAAAATGCCACCGATGAAAGTCCAGGAAGCTTTAGATGAAATTTCAAGTCGAAGTTCAAGAAACCTCAAAGAGAACGTGGTTGAAAGTGCTTTACATCAAATATCAGACTTAAAGTGGTCATTTTATACGATAGATGAGGAGATGAAAGTATAGAGTTGATTGTTCCTTGAGAGTACGGCAGTGTGAAAATTGTATAAAGAGAGTAGAAAGCGAGCAAAGGTCAATTTTGAAGAAGTCACGAATCGGATTGATCATCTCCTTTACCAGTGTTCACTCGACTGTCGACAGAAGCAGGCCACTCTCAATGTGTGTCACGCGATCGTCTGTTTACTCGGCAGCAACCATTGTGTGGTCCTCCTCATTGTTCTTCATCAGCAGTTCATTCGGTCGATGCGTCGTCGACTTTGGAAAGCAACCGTTTCGTGATGAGCGTGTGAGTGCTGACCACGTTTTGCGTCCATTTCTGCAATGGAAGCGCTCTGCCCCCCGTTCTGATGGAGAAGGCTTATTGGATAGCGGAAGATATAGTGTTGATTGTGTTGTACCTTTTGACTATAGTTTTAAGCTGTATTGCATAGTGAACAAGAATCCTCGGCTCTGTATAGTTAATTCGATTGAGCCTTATCAAATAAATTAATATAAAAAAAAATCTCCTTTACCAATCTCCCCTGCGTGAACTACTTAAACAAATCAAAAATATCCAAACAAATTTAAATTTTAAATTTGGATAAATTTTCATGAATGCTGTTTGAGTATCAATTTTATTCAAGATTTTGGATTTTTGGATATCTCCAGAATTTCCAGGATTTGAAAAAAATGTTCAGGATTCTGGCCCTTTGTAGAATTTTTAAGTGGATTTTGATGTGAATTTCAAAAGGGTTCGAGAAGAATTCTCAGAGAATTTGAGAATTATTCCTAGTGAGATGCAGAGAGAACCTTGGAGAAGTTTGAGATTTGGGCGTAATTGCTTTTGTAAACAAACACGACTATCGCCGATTAATCGTAAATTGAAACTTATTCTCGCGAACAAGCCATACTAAATGATAGAGGATTCATTTATCTACCTGTTTATGCCGTTTATTTTTTAGATTAGGCTTTAATTTGCGAGAAATTGGCGATTGAAGTGTTTGTTTACAAAAGCAATTACACCCTAATCTCAAAGTTCTCCGGAACTGTCAAAGAGTTCCAAGGTTACTCTGAGAAGAATTTCAAGCGAAATATGAGAAGAACTCACGGTGAATTTTAATCAAAAAAATTCAATGATTATAAGCAATATCGGTTTTGATTTTGATTACAATATTCTGAACGTTGGTTCTTAGGGGTCATCCACAAATTATGTGAAGTAAAAGGGGGGACGGTGAGTCTGATTTTTTTTTACATAAGATTCAATAGTTAGAAGTACATAATTCTCTGTACCGTTTATTTGGCCAAATGAGCATAAACTGATCTAGGGATAATGTTTCTAATGTCGACCTAAGTGTCCCTAATATTGGGCCCGTACTTAAATTTCGAAGGAAAGCTTTTGCTTGACAATTTTTCACTAGCAACCAAAATTATCCAGATGACGCATTGTTCTAAGAAAAATTAAAAAACTGGAAATTTTTAGCGATGGGCCCAATCTTTAGATCCATGGGCCAACTTTAGAGCCATTTGCCCTATTTATTTTAAAACGGTTTCCAACTCAATATTTAACGATTTAAAAAAAACCTTACTAAAATTTCAGAGGGAGGGGCTAAACTTAAAATCTTTCAGTGTCTCACAAGAGCGGGAAGGAACACTTACATAATTTGTGAATGACCCCTTAAATCTTTGTTTTGATTTTTAAATCACGTCCAGCTCTAGCATTTTATTAACTAAAATCTATTTTTTTACAAAGTTGTTTACTTTCTAACTAAGCACACCTACTTCTACCGATTTCATCACCCCCTCCCGGTCGAAATGCGTCATGGTTTCAATCGTCCACACTCATCACAGCTTCGCCAGCGTATCCTTCAGCTCCATCATCTCCTCTTTCATCCCCTCGGTCTTGTCCTTCCGCTTGATGTTGGTCCGCCGAATCATCATCTTGGACATCTTCAGCGAATATCCAACGCCGTGGAATTTGGCCCAGGACATCCCGACGCCAAACTCTTCGTTGGCACCCCTCAGATACTTGCCGTTCAGGTTACTGCAAAGAGAGAGATCAACGCTTGTTCCCGCTTATCTGTGTTGGCTTAGGGGCCCCAAAAGCTTACCTCGAGTGGCAATTCCTGTACCACCAGGCTCCATGGTATTTGACGGAGCAGTTCTCATCGTGCGTATCGTTGTCCTCGTCGAACGTACTGAAGTACGCCCCCAGGGTGTAGCTCATCGAGTCCCCAGCCGTCCCGTTGTAGCCGTTGATCTTGGTCACCTTGTACAGTTCCGTTTCGCTGGCAATTTCAAAGTTGGCATAGTGCGCTTGCGTCGTATTGCCATCGAAGTCCTCCAGCAGGATCATCAGTTCATGCGGAGCCGAATAGGTCAGCTGATGGATACGTTCCAAGCCTAGCCAGAACTCTCCGCCGTCCATCTTGCCGAACCCGAACCGATACTCGTCCCAGTCCCGGTAGAAGTTGACCATCCCATCGTACCGGTACTGGAATACGGTCCATCCTCCCTCCTGGAAGGTCATTTCGCAGTACACCCGAATCGGCTTGCTGAATTCCCCGTCCGGTTGCACGTCCCAAACGCCACTTCGACTACCCTCCGGAAGCTGATCGCAGGCCTCCAGAATCGTCGGCGGTGGCTTCTCCGTCGACTGAATATTATTATTCATCTGCATCTGCATCTGCTCCAACTGCATCAGATCGCCGTTGCCGTCGCAGTTGGCCGTAGCCTTCATCATCATCATGGCGTCGTCGAAGTAATTCCGCGTCGGTAGACGCTGCTGGGCTATTGCAAGATCCCTAAAAAATGAAACCGTTAAGCTCGTCTATTGACCTGTACAATTACCCTTGCAATTCACCTCATCTCCTTGTGCAGCAGGGTCAAATTCTTCGCAATAACCCGCAGCTGGTGTTCGGCATTGTTGGCCGACCGTTCCGTCTCGGAGATGTGCCATGCCAGATTATCGATCACGTGCACCAGATTCTGCAGCAAGCTAGCAACTGTATCCACCTTCTTCTGGACGTTCAACTCGAACCGCATCATCCGCATGTCCAGCTGTTCGATCTTCAACGTAAAGTGCTCGATGTCGAACTCGTTGTACTCGCTGGCGTTAACCTCGACCAGCGCCTGGCGGGGCTGTGTGGCCCGCTGCGGAACCGCTCCCTGCAGGTACAGGATCGTCCCGAACAGAACGATCACCAGGAACGACTTCATGCTCGCTCTTTCTCTCTCGCGCTCTCTCGTTCTAGAACAACAACAACATCAACAACAACAACAACAACAACAACACAGTTCTGCACGACGCGACCTGATCGACGGCCAAAAAAACACTGAACTGGAAGAGTTCCCTCCTGGGGCCGGGCCCGGTAATCATCCGGAATAACGGGTGATCTCGCGCACTCGATGCGTGCCATTTCTCCCGATTCTCCACCACAGTTTCGCGCTGACGTGGGCCAAACCGTGCGAACGTCATGTGCGAGGTGTTAAAGAGCTCAGAATAATTGGCCGAAATTGGTGGAAATCTTCTGGCAAGGTGGTGGATGGGAAGTGTTTTTTTTTTTGGGTTTGTGGGTCGGTTTGCGGCTGATAATCATCGGGGATTCGATCTCGGGTGGTTGATAATTGATTATTGTCCGGTTCGAATCGGTCTTAATGATGAGATGCAGTTTTTGTTTTTGTTTTTGGCTGTTACAAATTGCATAGCTGATTGTTTGTGTGTGTGTGTATGTGTGGATTGCGAGCGGATGTTACGTTTCCGAGGAAGCTAATCAAATCAATTGCCATAACCGGTGCCAGGTTGAATTCAAAACCGTTTGATTGGAACTGAACGATTTGGAATAACCGTGCTTTGATTTGGCAGGTTGAGGTCAAATCAGATTTCGAAGGTTGTTCTTGATCGTCAGGGTTGGTATGGAGTGTGTGTTCTTGTGAAACTCAGCTTAGAATATTGATCTTAATTCTTGATCGTTTAATTTGTTATTGCATCTTCAATCTTAATCTTGAGAATATCGCATTGATGCTAACTACGGAAATGCTTTAATAATAACAGCTGCAAAACTACAACAAGAAGAAGAAACAGAAGTTAGAGGACTTCAGAGACGAGCACGTTGAGAATTCAGGATAATAGTTTTGGGAGCATGTTCAGATAAATGTGCTCCTCTTCAAGTTCGCTTATCCTAGAGGTCCGAAGGACCTCGGCGACGGAGAATTAGGTTTTAGTTTTGGACTCTGATTCAGAAGACTTCGAAGAACCAACTGACAGAACTTCAAGGCTGGGTGGACAGATGTCCAGTGAATATTGATTACAGGTTCGGTGAACATCGCGAGAAGCTCCTTTAGGACTTCAGTGACCTATTCAGTTGGTCAGAAGACTTCGAGAACTTCTAGAGCTGATCCATAGGGTTTTAGGCCATGTTTGTCCAGAGTTCAGGTGACCTTGTTTAGGGTGAATTCGGAAAGGGATTCTGTTAAACTTCGTAACGTACAAGTTTAGCTTACGTTGTGAATTGTCCAACGGAGCTAGTCTGGAGGGATTCCGGAACTGGTGTTCAGCTAATTAACAGACAAATTCGAGGACAGACTCAGAGCCGTTTCAGAGATCTTTGGGTTCTAATTCGATTCTTTCGATCCTCCATCAATTTACTTGGACGACCTTGAACGTGAAATCGAAATTTATCGTTTTGGATTTGTAGCGTAAACGGCAAATTGGCGAAGCCCTCAAAGACTTGACCGAACCTCAAATTAGAATGTACGGTCAAGATTCCTATAGTACGGCCACCACTAGATTCCTATAATTCGGTCGATCCGGCATTAACGAATACACGTACCATATGGAATTTGAGCTAATTGGGACCATACACTGATTGTACGGCAATTTCAAGAGATAACTTCCTGATGTCTTTGGAGAGTTTTCAGGGGAACATTCAGTTTCCGGTAGGTCACAAGTCTGGTCCTGTAGAAAATCCGGTAAAAGTGGTCAATTCATGAAACTGATCGTAAAGCTCCGCGGTTTTGTCTAAACCTCTTATCAGAATGAACTCGAAGTTGGGATCGGAATATAGACCTAGATAACCTCTGGATGGTCCACCGAAAGACCCGCAACATCCTTGAAAGTGGACAATTTATAAAACTGATCCTAGAGCTCCGCGGTTTTTTCGAAACCGCTCAAGGATGCCTTACAAGAACCAAGCCGGAATTGGGACCGGAATATGGACCAAGAGAACCTCTGGATGGTCCACCAAAAGATCCGGAACATCCGTAAAAGTGGTGAATTCATGAAACTGATCGTAGAACTCCGCAGTTTTTTTTTTCGAAACCACTCAAAGACGTCTTATCACAATGAAAAATGGACGCTGGGGGCCACTGGAAGATCCGGAACGTCCGTAAAAGTGGTCAATTCATGAAACTGGTTCTAGAACTCCGTGGATTTTTCGAAATCACTTATAGACGTCAATGAATTCAGAGTTAGGACCGGAATATGGACCAAGAGACCCTCAGAATGGTCCACCGAAAGACCCGCAACATCCGTAAAAGTGGTCAATTCATGAAACTGATCCTAGAGCTCCGCGGTTTTCTCTAAATCGCTCAAAGATGCCTTGCAAGAATGAAGCCGGAATTGGGACCGGAATATGAACTAAGAGAACCTCTGGATGGCCCACTGGAAGATCCGGAACGTCCGTAAAAGTGGTAAATTCATGAAACTGATCCTAGAGCTCCGCAATTTTCTCAAAACCGGTCAAAGATGCCTTACACGAATGAAGCCGGAATTTTGTCCGGATATGGACCAAGAGAACCTCTGGATGGCCCACTGGAAAATCCGGAACGTCCGTAAAAGTGGTGAATTGATGAAACTGATCCCAGAGCTGCGCAATTTTCTCAAAACCGCTCAAAGATGCCTTACACGAATGAAACCGGATTTTGGACCAAAATATGGACCAAGAGAACCTTTGGATGGTCCATCAAAAGATCCGGAACATCCGTAAAAGTGGTCAATTCATGAAACTGATCCTAGAGCTCCGTGGTTTTCTCAAAACCGCTCAAAGCTGCCTTACAAGAATGAAGTCGGAATTGGGACCGGAATTCGGACCAAGAAAACCTCTGGATGGTCCAACAGAAGATCCGGAACGTCCATAAAAGTGGTAAATTCATGACACTGATCGTAGAACTCCACAGTTTTTTTTTCGAAACCGCTCAAAAACGTATTATCACAATGAAAAATGGACGCTGGGGGCTACGGGAAGATCCGGAACATCCGTAAAAGTGGTCAATTCATGAAACTGGTCTTAGAGCTTTTTTTTTCCGAAACCGCTCAAAGATCTCTTATCAAAATAAAGTTGGATTTGGGATCAAAATATGTACCAAAAGAACCTATGGATGGTCCGCCGGAAGACCCGGAACGTCCGTGTAAAAGTGGTCAATTCATGAAACTGATCTTAGAGCTCCGCGGTTTTTTCTAAACCGCTCAAAGACGTCTTATCAGAATGAAGTCGGAGTTGGGACCGGAATATGGACCCTGGAAACCTCGGGATGGTTCACCGGAAGATCCTGAACATCCGTAAAAGTGGTGAATTCATGAAACTGATCTTAGAACTCCGTAGTTTTTTTTAAATCGCTCGTTTATCACAATGAAAAGTGGACGCTGGGGGCCACGGGAAGTGATGAATACATGAAACTGATCCTGGAGCTCCGCGGTTTTGTCGAAACCTCTCAAAGACGTCTTATCAGAAAGAATTCAGAATTGTGACCGGAATACGGATCCTGGGGACATTTTCTTTTCTATACTTTCTCACATCTGTTGCGTGACGTTTTCCAGCACGACTTAGTTGTTTCACGTACGTCGGACGACAAGATTGATGGAAATTGTTGACATAGTTATTGTCGAAAAAAGTCCTGTAATGTCATTCTCACATCCTGTCACGACAAAACTGCCGCTGGTCGTTTTCTAGTAAATGAATGTCGCTTTGCACACGAGACATAACAAAATTGAAATAACTGGAATTCTCGCGCAACACGAGAAAAGGGCTTATCATTGTCAATCGATTTTCCTTTTCGCGAATAACCCGACTGCAAATAAATTTCCCATTCAGTGTGTTGTTTCAGGCGTAAGCTAACATCATCTTCTGTCGAACTGTGCTGCGAGCTTAGCGTGAAACTCGTTTATGTTGCCGTGGTAAACCAAAGAGAAAGCCGGTGAAGAGAATCGATCAACGAGGATAGGCCCTTTTCAAATGTTACGCGAAAATTGTGTTGTTTTGACGGGATTTCCCCTCTGGCACAAAGTAGCTTGAATCTTGGCACTAAACTTCGTGCTTGGACGACATGTAGATGCCGGAAATCGATGTCCGACGTCATTTTGGAATCCAAGGTGGATCGGAGACGGCTGAAAGTCTCCTTAATAAAGATATAAAAAAAAAAAAAAATCTTCAGAAAAACTGTCAAATACCCTAAAATATGGATATTTTCATAACGGAGGCGACGTGAAGATGCCAAAAATCAATGTTCGACGCCATTTTGGATGGTGGCTCTCAGATTCGGAAAAACTATCAAATACCCTACAAGATGGATATTTTAGGAAGAAGTACGACGCGTACATCCCGAAAATCGATGTCCGACGCCATTTTGTAATCTAAGATGGCGGCTCTCAGATTCTGAAAAACTGTCAAATGCCCTATAATATGGATATTTTCGAAACGAGGACGACATGTAGGTGCTGAAAATCGATGTCCAACGCCAGGGCTGGAAAGCGCCTCAGAGCGTTAGCAAAGCAGCTTTGTGCATGCATCTCACAACACTGGACCAATAGTGTGTTGTTCTCCCATTTACTTCGCACACTCTTTTCCAACTAATCTGTGAGAAAGCGATCCACACAATGAGCAGTACACTCCGTGCGGCGCAGAGAGCGAATATAATACAACAAGCGCTAATGTCTTCTTTGGGTTCTTTGCAGACTTCCCATTTGCAACCCTACACTGAGTGGCGCTCTTTGCGTCGGAGCCGTCGAAGTGATGGCTACACATTGAGCTTCCGTTATTTATGGATGTGTGTTTGCCTTCTCTTCTCCACTGCTTTACACTTGCGCAGAGTGAAACACATGCAAACTTTGTGTTTGCTGGATTCTCACTTTCTTTATTTCATAAAATCAGTACATTGTGCGCATCGAGTGATCAGATGACAGCCCTGTCCGACGCCATTTTGTAATCTAAGATGGCGGCTCTCAGATTCTGGAAAACTATCAAATACCCTACAATATGAGTATTCTCGGAACGCGAACGACATTTAGATACCAAAAATCGATGTCCGATG